TGCAGACCTTTGTCGGCAAGGTGATGTCTCTGCTTTTTAAGATGCTGTCAAAGTTTGTCATTGCTTTCCTCCCAAGAAGCAGGCATCTTTTAATTTTGTGGCTGTTGTCGCCATCTGCAGTGATCATGGAGCCCAGGAAAGTAAAATCTGTCACTGCCTCCATATTTTCCCCTTCTGTTTGCCAGGAGGTGATGGGACCAGTGGTTATGATCCTAGTTTTTTTGATGTTGAGCTTCAGACCGTTTTTTGCACTCTCCTCTTTCACCCTCATTATGAGGTTGTTTAATTCCTCCTGTGATACCATCAGAGTGGTTTCATTTGCATATATGAGGTTGTTGATATTTCTTCCAGCAATCTTAATTCCGTCTTGGGATTCATCCAGTCCTGCCTTTCGCATGATGCATTTTGCACATAAGTTAAAAGAGCAGGGGGACAATATACAGCCTTGTCGTACTCCTTTCCCAATTTTGAACCAATCAGTTGTTCCATATCCAGTTCTAACTGTTGCTTCCTGTCCCACATACAGATTTTTTCAGGAGATAGATAAGGTCATCAGGCACTCCCATTTCTTTAAGAACTTGCCATAGTTTGCTGTGGTCCACACAGGCAAAGGCTTTTGTGTAGTCAATGAAGCAGAAGTAAATGTTTTTCTGGAACTCGGCTTATACCATCCTTTTATTTGAAACACGTTGTGCATGTATATGTGCTACATCTCAGTTGCATTCTGTCAACCTTTTTCTCTTATTATTGTTTATTCAGACATAGTTGGTATTGTTTTTTAGTTGCATGGTATAGTATATCCTTGCACCTTCGTAAGCTGTTTTGAACCACAGAGACAATGATAAACAGAAAAAAGTGTAGAATATAGAGGAGTCAAAAATAGACATGGGCATTTCCCATTTGCTTCCCTGGAGAAATGAATACAAACCGCGCACATGGGCGTCACCCAACCCTGCCCCCCAGAACCAGCCAGGCCACTTACCAGTCTTGGCAGCAACCCAGCCAGCCCACCCCTGCCTCCACACACAGTCCACACACAGTCAACCATCAGCTGAGCTAGGAGAAACCCCCCCCATCCCGCCTTTGTGCTGAAGTGGTTGGCTGTGCAGGGAAGAGCTGGCCAGGCTCCTGCTAGGGTTAGTGCAACAATGATGATGGCAGAGCTGAGCGCCATGCAAAGCCTGAAAGGTGGCCTGGCTGTACAGTGGTGTCCCGCATGACGACAATCCGTTCCCCTGAAATCGCTGTTAAGCGAAATCGTCATGTGAAAAACAATTCCCCATTGGAATGCATTGAAAAC